TACATTCTAATTTTGTTACCCATACATATGTGAAAAATATAAGAAATAAAACGATGTGTAATAACCATTTCCCATGTATTTATGTGTATAACAGTTTATGTTGTCTCAATACCAACAATACTTACCTACATTATTACTAATAACGGTTGCGTGTCATTAAATAGGATAAAAAAAATTCCTAAGACATGACCCCTTGAAATAATCAAATAATATATATTTATATGAAAAATGATCCATTTACAATTATTTTTTACAAATTACACTAAGTATGACCGATCATACACTCTTGATTGAAATATGACTGATCAGACATAATGTAATTTTGTAAGAATTTATAAACAATTTTTTTGTAAATACAAGCTTCTCCAATTTATATATATTAACCTTCTCGTGCATATGCAGTAAACTAATAAGGAGCCAATATGCATACAAGTTGTTGTATTGAAGAGTTTCAAATTTCATGAAGAATTTTTAAACACGAGTCATGGTTAGATAAAGTTTTTTATTCTGTCCTATTATATAATATTTGAAATTTAATTTAAAAATATGTATGATTATATTGTTTTTCATGAACAAAACATTAATAAAATGAAGGGTTTTATTAATATTATGTGACATAATATAAGGGTAGTTTTCAACTCACACAATGATGAAGAGAGAGAAAGTGAAATGATGAAAGAGAAAGAAAAACATGTGGACCTTACCTCTTTAATATGTGTGTAAGAAAGTGGAGTTATGTTATGTAAAATAATAAACATAAAACCCTAAAAACAATGGAACATCTTAAAATTCATAAGAATGTATTAAATAAGATTATCTTTTTTGACAAAGGCAAAAAGCGGAATTCAGAATGACCTAAACCATAATTTAATGAACAAAATGACCTAGTCATGGTCTTTCAAAATGACTTAAACCATTATTATAGTTTTTTATGGGCTTTTCCCAAGTTGTACACACACACAAAATGACGAAGTGTGAATTCAGATGAGAAATGGATGACAAAAATGAGCGTAAAATATAATATAACTAAGAAACGGTATATAAACTTAATATAATAACTATACGAAGACACAAATATTGAATAAAAAAAAGTATTAATAGTTCTATAAGTCAGTTCTATAAGTCAATTTGATCATTATTGTAAATCGTAAAATATTTTTATTTATTTAATTATTGAGGTATCTCACTTTTATAAATATTAAAAACTATAAAATGGTTAAAATAATGGGCTAAAAGTATAAAAAAATATTTCAAAATTGAAAAAACGATACATGTCGAATACCATTACAACAATCATTTTAAAATACAAGTATTTTTTTTGATAAATAAATACAAGTATTTAGTAAGTATATTTTCTGAAACACGAACCCAATACCAAAATACTTTCTTTTTTCTTTACTTTATAGAAAAATTATCTTAAGTTTGATCAACGATTTCAATTTTTTTTTTTTTTTGTAAATCAACGAATTTTTATTTGTTAAATACAAGAAGGATTCTGTGATTTGGTATAAAGGATAATGAAGGCTGACGGCGTTGAGGGAATTAGAAGGCAAGAGGCTTCAAATTCAACCCTCGATTTGTTTATTTTTAAATTCTTATACATATTTTATAGAAATAGAATATTCTTACTATATGTTCCCGCTTACCAAAAAAATAAATATATTCTTACTATATGTTCCTACAATTAATCCACTATCACTCTAATATAATTATGGATTATGGGAAACATATTAAAAGTTGTTTTTTTTTCTTCAAAATTTTTTCATAAATTCTCTGCTGAAAAGTGGAATCCCATGGTGATACAATGGTAGTAGATTTGTAATAAGAACATGGAAAATAGTATACTTATCGTCACAAAAGTTTACCATCATTACAATTAACATAATCACTGTTGATTTTCGTCAATCTAACTATTATAATTTATTAAAAATTATTGGATCGTTCTTATTGACTAATTATTAATTTCTAATAAATTCAATAAATTATAACTGCTAAATTGACGAAAATTAATGATAATTAGATTGATTGTAAGGGTAATAAATTTTTGTAATGGTAAATATATACCGCTCCTAGGTACATTAATATTATTATTGCATTTTAAAAAATAAAAAAAATCTCATGTAAAAGAATATATTTTCATTGGTATGGAAGTAGATATTTTTTATTAAAAATAAAAAAATTAAATAACATTAATAATAAAGAATAGATAAATTAAATAAAATATTTTTTTAATTTTGATAAAAAAAATAGACCGAGTCTTCAATGATACGAAGGATGTATGTTTCATTTCCCAGCTGAGGAGGGTACAACTACAAGGTGCTGTTTCCAATGACGTAGTTACACATTTTTCATATTTTTTAATCTAATAAACTATTATTTAAATTACCAGATTATTCAAAAAAATTCATTCCCCAATGACGGACGGGGTACATGATTTTATTTAAGTACAATGGGGTACATGATTTTAGCTTTACATTATCATCGATACATGTCCCTTTGGCAGAATGGTACACTCACGTGCGTTAAAAAGTGTACACTTTTTAACGTAACAGAGTCGAAGGCACGTGACATCCCTGTAAAATTAGAAAAAAAATTTGTCATTTTTTTTTGGTAAACAAAATATTTATCATTTTAATGATATAAAGTTATGTTATTTTAAGAGAAAAATAAACATAAAATAATATTTTTTATTTAAAATTTAAATTAAAAAAATCACTCACTTTCTCTCTTATAATTTTCATTTCTTGTCTCTATCTCTCTTCTAATATGATATAACTTATGTCATTTAAAATGACAAACATTAAACCCTATAAAAATTATACTGTTCAATGCAATTATGTATATTTTTTGGCAAATTTATTTCAGTATCTTCCGTATTTATATATTTATTAGGATATGAAATTGGATTTTGGTAATTTTTTTCCTATGGCAAAAGGCAAATATGTACCGCTATTGTAAAAAAACTGGACACATATTCTTTTAGTAGATTCAATTTATGCTATTTAAATTGGAAATGCTATTATATTATATTCTACACCGTATAAATATTGGGAAGTCCATTTGTCCTGTTGTACGAATGACTAATAGTTTTTCTAAAGAGAGGAGATTATGGTGGGGTCACTTCAAAAAAGAAAAAAGAAAAAAAATATAATGGGGGATTTTCGATGTATCAATAAGAAATACTATTCGTCTTCTTGCAATATTGTAATTGCATTTCCCATACCACCCATTAAAAATAAAAAATAAAATAAAAATTATTGCACATAATTTGATGTTTGACTGATTGGAGAAAAAATTCTCTTAACATGAATATCCCCCCCCCCCCCCCACCAAATATTATGTAGCCACTTTCTTTGAAGTTTTGAACATATATGTGACGATTATGGTAAAGAAAGGACTAAGGAGGGGAAGGCACCAAACTGAGTCCACAAATCAATAAATGTCATCTCTCAGAAAACTCACCACCAGATAAGTTAGAAGACTTTGTCTGATTGTATAGAAAAATGGACTTTGTCTAACTCAAAACATTCGTATTTATTCAGCCACACATGTGACCAAATGCATTGCAAGGAGCATGCCATTTCTGTCTCGCCCTCTTCCTTTGATGTCATCCTATCTTTCACGCGCAGGCGTATAAAAGTTAGAAAAATATTTGGATCCTCTTATTTTTAAGCTAGAAGCTACTTATAAGCTAAAGCTAAAAAAAAGAGCTTAAAAAAATAAGCTAAAAGCTGTTTGGAAATTACATAAAAGTTTTAGCTTAAAAATTACTTAAAAGCACATATTTCAAGAAAATTATCTCTTTCTATCTTTATCACTCTTTATTTTAAAAAAAACACACAATTCAAGAAAAACAGATAAGAGCTTAAAAAAAAGCTCCTCCTAGGAGCTTTTAATTTTCAGCTTTTTTCTTCATTATAAAAAAAAGAGTTTTTCGTTATAAGAGCTTTTCCCAAAACCTGTTTGGCCTAGCTTATGCTTATAAGTAGCTTGTAGCTTAAAAAAAAGAAGATCCAAACAGGCACTTAGAGATATTATATTTAGGGAAAACATTTTCTCCGGAGATAATTTTTCTCATGTTAATGACCTATAGCATAAGTGGGTCCCACAAAATAGTGGAAAGAGAAAAAAATTCAACGTGGGACCAACTTATGCTTTGAGTCACTAACATGAGAAAAATTTTCTCCTTTAGAAGGAGAAAATGTTTTTCCTTATATTTACTATATTTTATTATTAAATTTTAATCGTTAATTTTTATCAATTTAATAGTTATAATTTATTGGATCATATTTATTAATTAATTATTAATTTTTAATAAATTATATTTGTTAGATTGACGAAAATTAACAATTAAAATTTTATAGTAAGAGCTATTAGGAAAAAGAGGTAGATAACCTCTTCCTATAAATAATAAAAAAATATTTATAATTTTAAATGACAGAAAATTATATTATTTTTTAATGGAACTACATCATTATGTTGTCTTTTTACATTTTCTCTAATCCATTTTCTTTTTCTTTCTAATTTTATAAAAAAATGATAAAACACACCAAAATATCATAATTTTATTAAAAATAATAAATATTTATCTAAAATTCTTACCTACTTTTTTTTTTGGTAGTTAAATTGTTACCTACTTTATTACTAATAACGGTTAAGTGTCATAGGATAAAAATAAATTCCTAAGGCATGACCCCTTGAAATAATCAAATGATATATATTTATGTATATTAACCTTCTCGTGCATATGCAGGAAACTCATAATTACTTTACATTGAAAAAGGTGAAAATGTCATTATATTATTATCTGAAAAAAATAGCATGTTTGGAAGATAATTTATTTTGAAGATAAAAGAATAAGGTGTAATTTGTGCAGAGAATTTATAGTGAAGAGTAATTTTGGGAGATAATAATGGAAAAGTAACATCACTTATTAATTAATTGAAGAAGCCCACAGATACAAGTGGAGAACGAAGTCTGACGAAGCTTTAATTTGTTTTCCTTTTTTTCTTCTTTTGTAGAGAGAGAGAGAGAAACAGAGATCCCAAAAAAATGCTGTTTGAGAAAATATAGGATGCCGAAAAATTTGATCACAGTTTGTAATAGATAGTGAAGAAGATATTTTGTTTTTTATCTGTGGTGTCTTCTCTTCTGTGTTGGGTTTCCGACAATAATAGAATACAATGGCGAAATCGAACACAAACACGCTGCCATTGAAACCCGTATGGGTTTTACCGTACCGCACACAAATCATAACTGAGTTGTACGCGCTGGGTAGAAAACTCGGTCAGGGTCAATTCGGAACGACGTACCTCTGCACGCACAAGTCCACGGGTCGCAGGTACGCGTGCAAGTCGATCCCGAAGAGGAAGCTGTTATGCAAGGAGGATTACGAGGATGTGTGGAGGGAGATTCAGATAATGCACCACTTGTCGGAGCATCCGCACGTGGTTCGAATCGACGGCACGTACGAGGACGCGCTGGCCGTGCATCTGGTGATGGAGCTGTGTGAAGGTGGAGAACTGTTCGACAGGATCGTGCAGAAGGGGCATTACAGTGAGAGACAAGCTGCGAAGTTGATAAAGACAATTGTTGAGGTTGTTGAGTCTTGTCACTCTCTTGGTGTCATGCATAGGGACCTCAAACCTGAGAACTTCCTTTTTGATACCGTTGATGAGGATGCTAAGCTTAAAGCCACCGATTTTGGTTTGTCGGTTTTTTACAAGCCTGGTAGGTTCAATATGCTTGTTTATTTCCACATTCTAAATTTAGCAACTTTTCAGAATATTCATCTGATTAAAGGTAGATTCGTTATTCAAACCTTTGTTTCTTACTGCTGCTGTGTTTGATTTAGAAATTCCTAGTTGATGCAATACCTGGGGTTCAAAATTGGATTTTTCTGTCCTGATTTTTCGTGCTGTCTATTAGATTGAGTAATAGAACTTGGTGTTTTGTGAGAATCTCATGCAGGCACTGGAGATTGAACTGAATTAGTTAATCTGAGCTGGAAGCATGTTATGCATCACATAAGCTAATAATAATACTCTAGTATTAACATGAATAAACATTTTTGGGTGACTCAAACTAATTCTGTGCTATTTGTTCTGTCTTTCCTTTAGTGATCCAGAGGTTCTATTTTACTTTGGATTCACTTACAGCTTTTATGTGCATCGATAGTTTTTCTGGAACAGAATTCATCTTTACTTTGCATTCTATAGGTTTGTGCTTTGTAAGTGCTTCTATGTAATAATATGCCCCACATAACTACGGTCCCAAGATTTTAGAAGTTGCATTTTTGTTGACAGATTCCTGTTACTCGAAAACTTATTTAAGACCCTACCATCAAATGATATTGAAATAAAAAAGGTTTATTATCTTTTTCAATAAAAGATGCAATTGTTGTGTTTGATAGTAATATATACTGTAAATGGAGTTTCACGAAGTTTATAAATGTGTTTCCAAGTGAACGACTTGACAATTCAATGTTGTAGCAGCTGCAGGTTATATAGGTTATATCCAAAAAAAACACTCTAGTCTATTTTTTTATTCTCTCATAAATTGAAATCACAATCATTCAGTGATAGAATTTTACATCACGTAAATGGATAATTTTTTTTAGATATATGTATTACATTAGTCAAAAGCAATTGTTAATTTGTTATGTCCGAGAGATATGAAGAAAGGGATTTTCTTTTCTATTGGGGTTCAAAAGAGATGATAGCAGAAAAGCAATATGATGTATTAAAGAGGAAAAAAAAGGAAAGGGTGCTCAAATGAGATAAGCCCAGTTAGTAACCTTTTCTATCCATGCATTTTAGTGTCTTAAAACATGAACTTTTTGGCATTCTAACTGCTAGAAGTCTGTACTATGGGAAAGGGCTATATATGTGCCACTGAGCATAATGTGGAACCTGTATTTGTATATTGAAGTAATTTTTTCGAGCCATACTATATTTAAGTGTCTTGTGCAAGCAAAACTCGTAGAATAGTTGAAATCATTACCATCTCTCTTAATGGAGTCTTATAGCTGCATCCTTGTGATTGACAGTTGACACAGAGCCAAGTGTTCGGAAAAGGTGCTCTTGTACCTGCTTTATCTTGGTGCAAATTATGAACAGAGAGAAGTATTTGTTTAGCAAAATATACTTCGCTATTTAAAATTTAAGTTATGCAGTCTTGTCTTATATTTACAACTTGAATTCTATACTTTCCTTCGTTTCAGTCATTGTCAGATCAACTGGAAATTCTTTTATGCTGTGTATGTCACTATGCCTAACACAGTGATATACTTTTCAGGTGAATCCTTTTGTGATGTTGTTGGGAGCCCATACTATGTCGCACCAGAAGTCTTGCGCAAGCACTACGGACCTGAATCAGATGTGTGGAGTGCCGGGGTTATTCTGTACATCTTATTAAGTGGGGTGCCACCATTTTGGGCAGGTAGCTATTAGTTATTCATGTGTTAAATTTTCAATTGGGATGTGGGCCTATTACTGTTTTCTTCATGTACATCCTTTGTCATTGCTGATACTAATCTGCAAATTGTCACCTTCAGAAACCGAGCCGGGGATCTTCCGACAGATTTTACTAGGAAAACTTGATTTTCAGTCTGAGCCTTGGCCTAGCATTTCAGACAGCGCCAAGGATCTAATTCGGAAAATGCTTGATCAAAATCCAAAATCAAGGCTTACAGCATATGAAGTACTCCGTAAGTCTCTTAAACTTTGTATTGAGCAATTAGCATGATTGATTTTACAGCATTAATAATTAAAACAATTCTTAGAATGGGTTAACAGCTGTAAGATTTTTACAAGGCTATGGCACTAAAGTGTCTTTCTATGTCAGGCCACCCATGGATTGTTGATGACAACATTGCACCTGATAAACCTCTTGATTCTGCGGTTTTATCACGTTTGAAGCAGTTCTCTGCAATGAATAAACTGAAAAAGATGGCTTTGCGTGTAAGGCTTCTTCTATAGACCTTTTAGCTATGACTAAATAATTTCTGTGCTGATATGCTGAGCATGGATGGACAAGTTTGCTCGCAAGAATACCTAGTTGTGTGTCTTCCTGTTACAATGAAAAAGTAATTATATGCAATTTTTTATTAGAATTTCAGCCAAGCAGAGTGCAACTATTATTTCAAGATCCACCGGAAGGCCATTATTTTCGTAGTTTATGAATTTCCTTTGCATTCTTTTTAACGAGACTCATAAAAAAGCTTCTTGATTCTAAAGGTTATTTCAATACATGGTGGAGTGTTGTTTATTTCTGTCCACAGTAATGATGCCCGAGAATTTTGAAATTTCTTATTTTAGAGCAAGATACCTGAGTGTCTTACACGGCTGTCTTGGTTTGGTATATGGGCATTTTTTATGCCTGCAGGAATGCAAGATGCATCATCAGTATTAAGTTCCCAAGAAATATGGCTATCCTATACCTAATCTGAATTCTGAAGTTCAAGGAATGCAATACTACTTGCATTTATGTTTCTCATGTATAATGGTTTATGGCTACCCTTTAGAAACTGGTGGGGTGATTTACTAGAGCCAAAGTTTCTTAATATATTTTCATGTATGAAGGATTTTTTTTACAATAAATATCATTAGTGACTTTTGTTAGATATGTTGTTTTGTTGCTAAAAAAATATGAAATAGAGATCAACTTTTCATTCTTGACAACCCTTACCATCAAAGAAAGGCCAAGAGCATTAGATGCATTGGAGCCAGAAAAAGCTACATGGTTGGACTGAAAAAATTGCATTATGTCCCAATGGTTTTCTCAACAGCTATCATTGGGTAGATGCATTTCATTTATGTGTAGGCTGATATTTACTTTTATATATTGAGTCTTGTTATACATGTGCTTTTGGGTTTCCGATTCTTAATTTTGGTTCTCAGTTATGAATTCCATTTTGTATGAGTGTTGGATATGGACGATGAGGCAGCCTCATCCTTATTTCTACGTTATCTTTATCCACGTGCCTTAAGATTGGAAGACAAGGCTTGCAGAGGTTCCATTCTGAAGGAACTTGAACTGTTGTTTCATTCAAGTTTTGGTTGTTGCTTCAAGTAGGGAATACCGAGGTTGAAAAGCTAACATGAATAGAATTTGAAAGAGGTTTCTTTACATTCTCTTTTTAAAATTGCGTTTTTTTTTTTCATTGTTGCTATTCTAAGTTTACCATTAAATTAACATAAATCAGCAAAAATGAAATTAGGTCACTTTCTTCTCAACCTTATCCTGAACTTCAAGCAAGCATCATTATTTATGTGTAGTTTGTAATATTAGAGTTCATACCAGTTTTGAGCTAGGATTTATCATTCCTTCTTTCTGGAAACAGGAAGTCGAAAGTGATCTATTTTTGTAGTCTTATGCATGTCAAATCCTAATACCACAACATTTATGGTTTTGTTACTTAATCCTAGGTTATTGCTGAGAGGCTATCTGAGGAAGAAATTGGTGGCCTAAAAGAGTTATTCAAGATGATTGACACAGACAACAGTGGAACCATAACGTTTGACGAGTTAAAAGATGGCTTGAAGCGAGTAGGATCTGAACTTATGGAGTCTGAAATCAAGGATCTTATGGATGCCGTAAGATAATTTATTTATTTATTTTTTGGGGGTAAATTATGTTTTAGTTAAATCCAATTTCATGATATATGCTGCTTTTCCTTTGATTTTTGAACTTGACTGTTTACAAGATCTTATAATGTGGCATGTGACAGGCGGATATTGATAAAAGTGGGACAATTGACTATGGTGAATTCATTGCTGCTACTGTTCATTTAAATAAACTGGAGAGAGAGGAAAACCTGGTGTCAGCCTTCTCCTATTTTGACAAAGATGGTAGTGGTTACATAACCATTGATGAGATTCAACAAGCTTGTAAGGACTTTGGTTTAGAGGATGTCCATATTGATGAAATGATCAAGGAAATTGATCAGGATAACGTAAGTATTGTTTTTTGTCTTGTTATTGTAAGTTTTCTTGTACTGACCACAATATTCCTAAATTTCATCTTTCTTGATTATATGCCAACACTGTTATGTGGTTGGTTGTGTAGATGGCAACTTGTTTGTTTTGTATTTAATGTATGGTTTGTGATGCAGGATGGACAAATAGATTATGGGGAATTTGCTGCCATGATGAGAAAGGGCAATGGAGGGATAGGAAGGCGAACTATGAGAAAAACACTCAATTTAAGAGATGCTCTGGGATTAGTAGGCAATGGATCCAATCAAGTTATTGATGGTTACCACCTTTAGTATTTACTTGGAGACCAAAAAATTGACAGAAGATAATTTGATAAATTTCAATATTATATGTAACTTGACCAAATTTTGCATATCTATTAATAGACCTATATTTACAAAAGTTTTTCAACTTGATCACGATAAGGTCCATTTGGGTAGTACAAGCTTGATGCATTATTTGCTTTGGTGATTCATTGCATGAAAATGTGAAATGGCCCACACAACTTATTGCAGTTTCTTAGTCAAGCTCCATGCCAGCTGTCATATTATATCTCGCTTTGACCCGGGTTAATATCTTCTGACGTTATATAAAAAGATGATTTTTTTTTCTAAGTACACGATAAATATGCGGGTCTGAGTGAAATTTTTCTCTTTCCTTTTTTTTTTTTAACGGGATTTACATTTTGTGTGTAAGATAAGAATATCTTCTCATGTTATGTGACATGAGAAGATATTAAACCTTTTACTTTTATCCGTAATCAAAGGTTGTTGCTCCAACTCCAACAAAAAGTAATGATGGAATCAAGAATTTTTTTAATAGTAATATCATGCTATTACTTTAAAAATATCATGCTATTATTATTTTTAAAGTAATATCCGTAATTAAAGGAATAACACCATTCTGTCGGTTCCTTGGTATTTTTATTATTTTTTCTTGAAAATGTCATGCTATTATTTTATTTTTTTTAAAATCAGTTCTTTACCTCTTATTCTGGGATGAATTTAAATTTGATGTACTGTTAATTTAAAGAATTTATATTATTATTTAACAATGTATTCATATATTCTTAAGAAAGTTAAACTTTTTAAATGATTTTGGTAGTTAAATTTTTTCTTGATTGACATGCTGATTATGCCACAATTTCAAGTTAGAAAAGCATTTAAATTATAAAAAATTTAGCCTTTGTTTGAGAGTTTGGAGGGGAAGAGAAGAAAGAGAATCCAATGGAAAGGAAAAGAAAGATAAGAAAAATGAAGGGTTCCTTTATTTAAGAGTTAAAAATATAATAGGTAAAGTCTATTAAGATAGTTATAAAATAACTAAAGTTTAATGTTAACGAACCCAGTATGTACGTTCAGAAATTGGGTTAGAAAAGAAAGAGGGGTTTTGATTTTAGTGCCAAGAGTAAATAAATAATTTAAAATATTTTACATTTGGAGGATTTTAGAGGAAAAATTTAATTTCAAGAATAAAAAATATTTTGGAGGATTTTATAAAAAAAAATTAATTTATTTCCTTTACCATTTTAAACTCACAAATAAAGAAAAGATATAAAAAAAAAAAAATCACTTTCTTTCCCTCCTAATATAGCTCCCAAACAAAGCCTTAGGATTGCTGAAACAAATGATTCTTTCATGAAAATTATGAATGTATCATTTTCCGTCATCCGCTCCATTTAGACAGGATGATGGTCAAAAGGCTTGGTGCTATTACTTCAATCTTTATCTTCTTTTACACCCGTCATCATTTTCATATCAATAAAATCAACGACGTGTCACAGGAAAAAATCTCCGAGAAAATCTCTTACAAATGTTGTGGGACACCCACTTTTCCTATTATCCAGTCAAAGCATAAACAGAAATTAGGGGGAAATTCCTAAAGATAAGGAGAAAATTCATTACGCAGCGCTGATCAAGGTATATTTTTTGGCTGAGATAAAGACCCCCGAGTTCGTAAAAACACTCAGCAGATAATAACGGTTTAACAATGAATTTGCATAATGGATGGAAATTGGAATGTTGACACTAGACTTCAAACCCAAGATTTTTTATTTTATTTTTTATTTTTTAACAAAAAATGAAAGACACTTGTAGAGACAGGGCCGAACTAACGCTTTTGTTTAAGAACCAGACAACGAATGTAAATAAAAAAGGAGGGAAAACAAGTTAATCTCAACGGAATTCTACAGTATTTTCTGTAAAATTATCTTGAGTGATTTGTCTTCTAGAAAAGATAAATAAATAATAATAAAATCTCTAAAGTGGCCGACAGATAACTAGCTCAGTTAGTTTTCTTCTCTTCTTGGTTAGCAGCATCAACCTCTGTAGAATCTACAACCTGACCATCCTCACCTCCAAAACCAAATTCATTTACGCGTTTCTTGTCCACTGGGTAAACCCACTTCTGGTATAGATATATGAGAAAGATAAGATCTGCAAGCCAGGAAAGGGCAAAAAGAAATTAAGACAACAATAAAGGCCATCTAACAAACAAACTGATTCCAGCATCGAGCGCAATTGGGAGAAAAATCAATTTTTTAACAAAGTTAATTCATCTCAAACAATAAATCACAAAGCAAATATTATTTCTGAAATGACTTCACTTCAGCCATGATTCCGATTTAATTTAAAAGAGAACTAAATTGTCCAATAATGGAACAAATCACTGCATTAAAGAACTATAAGCCTTTCAGCTAAGTGGCAACCATGAAGACTCATGAAGTGGTAAAGTAAGGAAATAAAGCAACACTATAAAATGCAACTGAACCATCTATTCCATTAGTTCTGTAGCACCTTCCCTTCTTTGAAAGTGGAACCATCAGCTCCAAAACTCCTCGAGTAAAAAGTAAACTAGGTGCCTCAGTCTTCTGGGAAATGCTTCTCAAAGTAACAAAGTTTCACCTTCATCTTGGAGATTCCCGGCAGTATTCAAATTCCCAATATGTAGTATAAATATATTCCCATTATGTAATATGAATATATATCAGAAAAAGAATAATAGAGGATGCTAGTGCCTAGTAGAGACCATTTCATTTGCCAATGACCTTGTAGTCCAGGTCAAGTTTAATAGCTCTCGGCTGAGCTGGGATTCAAATTCCCATTATATATATCAGAAAGAGATTAACGAGGCTCATACTAGAGAACATTTCACTTGCCATTGACCTTATAGTCTAGTGGCTCCTAGCTTCTTTGGGAAGTACTTATCCTGAGTCCAACCTCTAGTTACTCTTAATGCTTACAGCTAACCCATCTTTCCTCCTCCCCTCACCAGGCCTTAGCACCTCTTTTGTAACCCAAGACAGAAGAAAGATAACTTCATGTATCACATACAGAGCATACAATTATGAGCAGATGGTTAGGATCTTATGATTCCAATCTTACCATCACGGAAAACAGAAAGCCGATGTAGTGTTGGCATTTTAATGACAAAGGCAAAAAGATCGTCAATGATGGTGTTAAGAAATTTGTAAGTCATCTGCCTCCAAGGAAGATGAGCAACAGATTTAAGCTTGTAGTTGATGAACAATTGAGGGCACATCATAATAAAGCCTGCATTATTTTTTTCAGCAAAAGGCGAATGGACATTATAACATTTACAAAACAAGAAAACTCAATGATCATGATTAATGATCCAATGACTGTAGATAAATCGGTTTATTATTTTGTTATACAGTGCTTTACTGTTCTTTCCTTAAATAGAAAAAAGCAGAGGGTAATTAACAAAAAAGTAAAATAGCTACCAAGGAAAGTAGCAAACAATGTTATTGGTAAACTTCTTATTTATTCTATATTGGCCCAAAGACAGAATAAAGGGAGAAAAAGAGAAAAACCAGATAGTATTATGATATACCTTGCCTAGAAAGAGAACTAATTATGCTTACAACAGGATACACTCTGCTTTCAGAATTGATGGCCATGTTAACTTTGGTCAATCAACTCCCTAGTTAAAAAGCAATCTAAAAAATCCTTCTCTCCAATTTGAACCAAAAAAAAAAAAAAAAACTCTGCATTTAGGAGGTTTAACCCGATATATTTACTAGTCGGTGTTGGCAACTATAATCATCACACATGGTACACTAGCAAAAATTACTAAATTATAATAAATTATAACTTTCATGCCAAAAATGGTTCATTCACGATTCTTTTATTCATGGTACAAGAACTGTCACAATTAAAACTTAGTAAAGCAAATTTATCAGAGTGAAAGCACTTCTATTAAACTTAATTTTAATACTCATGGCCATAAATGGTAACACCACCCCAAAAGGACAAAAACACAATGACAACAGAAAGAGTACTTACCAAACATGTAGACACAACTAGTGAGTGAAGATAGAATCCAAGAATACCAGCTCTTGTGACGCTCATACATCAGCGAATAAACAGAGAAGCAGGCAACAAGGAGTAATAGAACATATGATAAATACTTCATTGCAATATCATCATATTCTTTTGTCTTATTCTGTACATATGACTCACGATCTCGGAGCCTCAACATAGGTATCCTACCTGTCCTATCAATCTGGGGATGAAGAAAAAGAACAACATAAATTCCAGATTGCAGACATCAAAGAAAACATAAAAGAAATTGGGAAACATGACAATTTGCATAAGCAGACTAAAGCTAGAAAGCAACTTCAAAATCCACCCTCTTCCTACAAACCAAAAAAGTGATAAAACAGAAACATAAAAGTAAAGGTCTCAGCAAAATGGTATGCATAAATATCATACTTATTAATCTCGGATAGCAGCACGTAGCGGCTGACCCTCCATATTGCTATAGCGCTATAGCGGGTAGCGCTACAACGCTACTGTGCAAAGTGTACCTAAGTGATATACTAAATTGTACTCCACAAATATAAAACTTAAAATGTGAAAATGTGACATAAAAAACAAATTTGAAGGATCTCAAATAATGTAACACAACAAAATAAAGTGGCAAAATTAGTCAGAATTCAAACTGCCACTTAAGTGAAATGTCAAAATCAAAGAACTTAAGGAACTAATCATAATTGAAATCATGAACATCCAAATCTTCATCTTCACTTTAACTTGTATCTAAGTTGTAAATCTCTTCCTTCTATGACGAGAACACTTTTGCGGAAACTACTGTAGCGGTGCAATAGCGCCGCGATTCAGCCGCAGTAGCGGCCGCTACATCCGCTACACTTCACCTGACCGTAGCGGCGTGGTCTGTGGCCGCTGCACCGCAACGCAACTCCGCTATAGCGCGCTAAAGCGGGGCTATTTACAAGTTTGATTACAGAGATGTAAGAGCCGCAATGTCAGTACTCAGTAACAGTAATCATGTCTCCAGAAACATGTTACTTTTTATATCAGAATACACAATTATCAAATATGTTCACATATTAAACAACAACATGAAGATAATGAAAGACACCTCTATGTGCATAGCCTTTCCAATTTTCCAGAACTCAATAATGCAACCAATTCCAGAGCTTGCAAGAATCATCCAAGAGGTGTCATTGTCAAGCAGATAGAGGAAGACAATAATCTGTGAAACAAAGCTCACGACAACAGACTTTGCAGAGAGTCCTTCCATAGATTTATTTTTGTTCCAAAATTGGATGTCTGGGGAAGAAGGCAATAATTAGATGACCAACCAAATCCTCCATAATTTCCTTGTTATCCCATTTCAAACAGAATCACTTACCATTCTTGAAAGCCAAGAAGTCAAAAACTGAATGAAGAAGAGAAACCATCATAGTAACACCCAGGAGGTAAGGATTTCCTTCCAAGAATACCCTCTGATATAAAGAACAAATAGTCAGGCATATAAGTTGTTCTGTGATAATAAATCCACCATTATTAGTATTTATCATAATTTGGTTGAGCATGACATAACAAAAAGCATTGAAATATACTGCCACTTCATCGAGAAGAGATTGGATAGTAGGCTGGTTACTACTACCCATAGAGATATTTCAAAACCTCACAAACAAGTTGGGAGTGTTGAAAATATAAAATGAAGAATTATGTAATTATTGTAGATTTGTTTTTTATGATAGAATATGTTATAGGGTAGGTTTGTTTCTTATTTGTTTCCCTAGATTCAACTCTCTTTCTAAGAAAGTAATTGCTCTTACACATCGATATAATGTAATACTCTGTACATGGGAAATCAATCAATGATATTTGAACTCCAAATTCCAAGTCATACCTTCAACTCATCACCCTCTCCGTCAACCATGCTTCCATAACTACGTTGAACTTGGAAGGACTGATCAATCTGCAGGAATAATTGCCACTTTGTCATACTAATGGGACCAACCTCCAGATTAAGCAGTAACTCAGTTACTGTCTCATTTATTGGTATCAGCTTATCCCTGAGTAACCAGAATTCGTTGAAAAATACAGTTGGGTAGTAGTTCCCTGTGATAGGGTCAATGCTCAAGTCTGGGCATCCAAAGTTAAGGAAACTCACATATGATCAGTTAACTTGCACTCATTATAAAACACCTAAACAAGAAAGGAGAGCATGCATATGCATCAACTGATTGGAAGGTTATTAGAAGGTAGTTAAAATTAGAATGACAAAAAGAAATAAAAATCATAAATATCGTGGAAGTGACAAAAAAAATATTCACATGTACAAGCCCCTGCTATCTAATTTTTTTTATACGAGTACATAAATCTTGCAGAATATGAATAATACTCTTTTGAATACAAGACATGGAATCCAGAAACCAAGGCCAAGAAACTACAGTCGAGACAAAAAAAAAGACCAATTAGCAAAAGATTTAAATTCCAAGGATACGTGGGGCAATGTTAGGTGGGATGCTACTTTTTGGGTACCTGCAAACAGGAAAAGGTAACTTAATAATAAGCAGCATGAAGAAAACCCATTATCACAGGCTTTTCTACCATAATGGCAACTAGAAACTTTCAAGGGAAAATATAAAATACAGTACAAGTTTAAGATGCATAGCTAAAAACGAGTTAAGAACACAAATAGAACCAAAAGACCAACACAAATACACTAGTTATAGCGGTGATGGGAATCATGAAAGCAAACAGAAAACAGTGTTATAATTTCCGAGGGAGTTTAAAAACAAATTACATTGCTTAGTATATTTCAAGTTTTCAACTATTGCTGCTATAGCACTTTTAGGTTCAATTCAACCATATAAATCTAGGGTTTGATGTTTGTCATTTTTAATGACATAAGTTATGTCATTTTAGGAGAGAGATAGACACAAGGAATGGAAATCACGGGGGAGAAAGTGGGTGGTTTTTTTTTTTTAATTTAAATTTTAAATAAATTTTTTTATTTTGTGTCTATCTCTCTCTTAAAATGACATAACTTTATGTCATTTAAAATGACAAACACTTTTCCCATAAACTAGGGTATTAGACTGCTCCGCAAGTTCCTTTGTCTAACTAGGGTGTCAAGAGACATAATTTTTTCATTATTCTGCCAAAGAAAGACTTTCACCATGGATCTTCTTAGAAAAAATATGAGCGAAGGAAATGTCTTCATTGAGAGAACAAGTTACTGTTTCTCCATTGAAACAAAAAACAAAGTCAACAACTTCGCAGTCAGGCCTTCAGTAACAACAATCATTAATATTAACAAAACATCAATTGAAAACAATGACAAAAGTATAGATCCATAACTTTCTGTCCAATTCAAGTTAAAACCTTCAACCAAAAAAACCAATCATAAGTTCCCATGTATAAGGCCCTCTGACTTATCTAAAAATAATGTGCAACCAACATAAGGCTAAGACTGACATGCATAAATCCACAAATGTAAATGTGAACTTAAGATTGAATACTGACAACCAGATGCACTTAAGTAAAAGCCGATTCTTGGACCAAAGACTATATTCCAGATCTAGGAGTCCATAGACATGACCTTCAACTGACATCACATCATTTAAGAATAGCAATAAATTCAATCTATTTGGGTGGTCGATCTTGAAAATTGGAGCCAAAAAGACCCAAACGGAGGGAGATTTAAGAGTTGAGGGCAATGTAAAGCCCCCATTAACCTAATTCAATTTAGTGATTTGCTTAAAAGTTACAGTTAATCTGTTATTATTTAGCTCAAATTCATGGTTAACTATCTGGATCCTCTACATCATTGTTAAGTTCCAGTCTTAGAGCCGGAATCTCCCTGAAAAGAAAGGGGGGAATTAAAATGAATTATCATTCTATGAGAGGTTGCTAATTGCTTCAACTCTCTAAGGTAATAGCCTCGTACAAAACTAAAGACCAACATATGCCCATTAAAAGAAGGCCAGGTAATCTGCCGGACTCTTGCATCTTCCTGCATGATGCTTTCTCACAGAATAATGATCACAGGTCATGATTTTATACAGAAATTAATGACTGGCTGAAAAATGGCAAAATATAAGATAATATTTTCAAAATATGGTGCACTAGAATGTTCAATGAATTGCAAGAAACATACTGCGTGAAATCAGCAACCATGTTTATTGTTATATTTGGTTTCCAATATGAAGCCCACTCCACAGGGCCATCATCCTCAGAATCATTTTGAGTATCATCAACCACCTGACACAACAAAAGAGATCTATATTGGGATCATCACATGAAGTCTGTAAACCTCTAAATTTAACCGCAGTTGATTGGAACCATCACATTTACTAGCACATGTGTTGTTGATCGTATGTGTAACAAGTTGGCTTGAAGTTAATCATAAAAAGTAGTATATGAACAAAGAACAAACCTCGGAGGTCACTTGACCTTCACTAGAATCGGGTGAAGACCCCAACAGACTCCTCCTTTTATCAGCTCTTGTCTTGGGCAAGTATTTCACAACAGCTAAAACCAATTAAAGGAGAGACACCATAAACCACATTCTTAAAGTTATACATTTTTAAAGTGAGTAAGGAATCAATAAAAGGAAAAAAACAAAAAAAAAAACATTATCTTACGATGTGTCCTTCCAAATGCCGCATGAGGTTGGTATTCTGGGTCATTTGGGTCAGGTGAATATCCAGAATTTGCAAAGAAAACATGAGCATACAGACTCCCATTGTGCTTCAAAGCCTGAAAAAAGAAGAAGAAAAACTAATGATATAAAGTCCACTAACTACATTTATCAAGGGATATAGTTTAAGGGAAAAGTGTTTGTGTTTCTAAATGACACAACTTATGTCATTTTACTCTCACAAAGAGGTGAGATCCGCACCTTTATTTTTTTTTTGTCGACACTCTCTCCCCTTTTATCTATCTCTTTCTCTCACTTTAAATAACACAACTTTACATATCAAAATGATACACATTTTTTCCATAGTTTAAAGTTAAAACATTATTGAATAAAACGGATGATATATAATATAATGTCACGAACCATAACCTAAAAGCATAAAATAGGAGAAGGAGCAAACCTCCGATGGGTGATACTTAAGAGTAAGAGATCGAGTACTGTTAGGTCCCCAAGAAGCAAATGGAAGATTGGTTTCATGCCACACAAGAGCACTTCCACTACCAAAGTCATTAAACTTGTCATGCTCCGAAAGATAAAGCCACATATCCTGAACAAATTTCACAATAAAAAATACAAATTGATTGTAACATGAAGTATAAAAGCCTTCGAAACCGATCGAAATCAAGAACTATTGGCGTTGGTGAGTATTACCAGAGGTTGAGATTGGTGAAAGAGGTTGGAGATGAGAGCAGAAGAAGGTTGGGTGGGGGTTTTGGGAGAGAAGAATTTGGAAGCGAAATACCAGAACACTGCTATGCGTATGATTCCTGTGATGGTTTTCCCCAACCCACCTTGCTCTCTCCTTTGCCCTTCTGCCGCCGGTGGCGCCATCTTCGGCGGCGGCGTTTCGGTGTTTTCCGTTTCGGAATGGAATGGAATGGAAGTGTTTGGCGAAATTAGTTGATGAGAGTATCCAGTGAAAGATTCATCATATATTCAATTGGCGAATGCAAATATTATAGAAAACTTGTTATGAAATGCCAATGATAATGAATTTAGACTTTAGATAGTTATGAGGCTTGAATTTCAAAATTTGTTGTACTGAAGAATTAAACTTCTAAATCTAAACAACCTTATTAAGATGAAAGATAATTATATAATGTTTGGACTTTTTTATTCCGTTTCTTTTACCGGAACAAAAAAAATAGTATTTTCACCTTACAAAAAAAATTAGTCATTTTCAAAGTGGATTCATTTTAATTTTTTAAAAAATTAATATGGGTCATTTTTAAATTTATGAGAGACTATGATTTTAATTAAATGAATTCACTTTGAATTTTTTAGAGATCTAAGAGCTATTTTTTTTTTGTAAGTAATTAAAGTAGAGATTATATTTTTTATTAGAGATCCAAAAATGACTTTACTCTAAAATATATAAGCAGATAATGTTTGGGCTTTTTTATTACACCTTGCAAGAAATTTTAATCCATATCATATTACTATTCTAATTTTAAAATAAGATAAGTTATGCTTGTAATATTTGTTTTTTCTTACAGTTTTTTATAATTATTTTATTTTCGTTATATCAAATTTAAATTAAGAATTTTTATTTGATCTTTCAAATATAAAATAAAATGTATATTTTATGATGGATGTCAAAATACTATACAAATAATACAAGTGGTTGAGTTATAAAATAATTTTGTGTGCTATTAGCTTTTTGTTGTGCATTCTTTTGCATAAAATAAAAAATGTGGTAAAGAAATTATAAGAATGATTAGTTTTATTTTTCCTCATTTTGAGTTATACAAGGTAAAAAAAATTAAGAGACTTGTATTGTTCCTTAAATTATTTCTTATCCATTATTTATACTATTTAAATAATTCTCATCTTATTTTAACATATTTACTAAATATTACCTTAATTCTTATTTTAACATATTTACTAAATATTACCTTAATTCCACGTCAAAACAGGTAGGACTTAAGGAGTAATAAGATGCGAAAAAGTACTAAAGGCCAAAGAGATTAGAACTTTTATTATTGTAATGGTGCTGTTAATGTAAAATATCTATTTTCTTACATTTTTTTTTTTAAATTGTGTAGGCATTATAAGCGCAATTTCAGGTTTGTGGTGGTTTAAGAAAATTCTTTAAAAATTACAAAAAAAAAAAAAAAAAATTACAAAAAAAGTGTAAACAGACTCATAAAATTTTGAGTTAGAGATCATAGTTAAATAAAGTCTTTCTCAAAATAACAATTTTGAAAAATCCAATACAAATTAATAAAAATAAAAAGAAGACATATTACAAATTTATTTCACTTATACAAAGTACTTGTCCCCATACACAACATGTGGTATCTGTAATTTGAAGCATGCAGCACATAATATAGAATAGCAGCTCATGATCTTCAAAATTATACTTTCTCACTTGCATTGGGAGAAGCCAGAGGAAACAAAGCAAGCAATTCTGGCTCAGTGTAACCTGGTTTAGACCTTGGTGATGGATGCAAATAAAATCTCCTGTCTTTGATAGCTTTCTCTTCTTCTTCTATGTTTAGTCCTGTTGTTACTGACTCTTCTTTCTTTTCATCTTCCATAATAGTTAATTGAGAGAGCAATGTTGAAGGGGTGGTGGGGCTTGGAAGAAGACTTGAACTACCTGATACAGGACTTGGAGGAAAGCTAGAATTTCTTGACTTAGAGGGTGATAAACATGCACCTGGTTTAAAATAAAAAGGAGGTTTAACAATCTCAAGTTTAGGCTTCATGTATTTCCTTCTCTCATGGAGTTTGGCTGTTGTTGTTGTTGTCTTCTTCACATTGGTAACCTTTGTTGAGGCCTCTCCTTCTTTTGCTGCATTGGCTTCTGAGGGACCTGTTAAACGTTGCACTACTTCCCTGAATGCATTTGTGTCTGTGTGAACAAATGTGGTTACTGGTTTACCATTATCAGCTCCTGAACCATGCATTGGTGGCTTCTCCATTGTCATTACTTCATTTGACAATCAGATTAGCACCTCACCTGCAATATTAATTCATGATTAAATTAAACTGTAAGCATGCCTTCATTCAATGGAAGATGTAAATCATACATAAAATGATCCATGGCATACTTAAGATTAGGGAAGAGGAGTTCTTAAGAATTGTGTTAATAAACAGGGGCATGCATTTGAATTTTGAAACTACACTACAAACAAATGTCCCTCAATAATGTCCTAGATAGAGGGTAGGCATTTTGTTGAGCCAACCCATCAAGAGCCAACTCAGTAAATTATGTTTTTCTTATAATAGGATGTGGCTGAGATTTTCCAGCTCATGACCCTTTATGCCTAACTGACTGTATTACCTAGTTTACCTGTTTTTCTTTGACTCTTGAGGTCTTTGAGTTGGACTTGTCTGGCAGTTCTACTCTCTCTCTCATTTAGCCATGGAATACATATCAACTGTTATTTTATTTTTTTTGATTTCCCAAAGTATTCTCCGACCGACAACCGAAGGCTAATCCTTTCGAGGTGGGAGGTCACATTAAGTGGGTAAACCTCTCTTAACAAAAAAAATTTCATACACACTGCCAGAAATCGAACCCCTATCAGCATAATTAAGGAACCAACTATCTACTGTTATCTTTTTTTACCTCCAAATAATGTTATTTTTCTTTTAACAAAATGTTAAAAATACATGCAATGATTTTCTATGAGGCTCCCGCTAGAAAAAATGCATTCCATAAACTTTCTGCACATTTCAAAGCTATTAAGTTCAATTGAGTTTGAACAAACTCGAATGGTGGATTGGATACAGAATTTGACCTTTGACAAAGCTGACATGAATCAGAACCATATAATATAACAACACGAGCTTAAAACCAAATTTCAGAAAAACCATAATTAAGAAACTTAGAAACTAGAAATGATAGGAACAATTTCTTGCCTACCTAATAAGGTGGTTTGATGGTAGTAAAGCAACGCTGCTACTTTCTTTTATCTTAATATTCCAAAGAAGAAAATAAGTTGAAAAAGAAAGGAAAAGGAAGAGGAAGAACAAAAAAGTCTGAGAGGGGGTAAGAGCCTTATTGGGAGTGTAGTTAAAGATTTATGGTACAAGATTGGAATCAGTTAGGACAAAGAATCTCTGACCTCAAAAAGCAGTCCTACCATTAGCTTTGCCATAACAACTACCTGTTGTAAAGGGCAATGAACCATGCTACTTTCCTTCCAGTTATTGCCAAAATAGGATTGGTTTAACTAAGATTCAAAGAAAAATCAACAATTCTAAAGGGAGAGACAACTTGAGGAATATTACCTTTATCAAAGATAATGATCATCTAGATGACCAATGCTCATGACAGGACAATGTGAAGAAGCAAGTCTAATTGTGTATGTCTAAGATCTAGATGGCAGAAAAATAACCACCGTCTATCTTTGAACCTTTTTTTTGGAATGTTCTGGTTTCTCCCAACTTAATTTACCTTAAAAAGGTTACAAGGTTGTACAACAACAAAAAACAACTATGGTAAATAAAAATAAAAATTCCACGCGGTAATTTACTTTAAAAAGAAAAAAGTTAGTTTAATTTCATCGAAATTTGCTTGATCTTCATTATTGCTAACACGGAAAGAAATACAGAAAGCATAAATTTTCAAACGAGCAATCCGTCACGTCAATCGTTGTATCATGTTGTATTTTGTTTTGAAAAGTAGGAAAACGTTGCCATTCTTATGGTCATAAATAGTATCTAACAAAATATCGTTTGCCTGGTAACGGGAACATCGCATTTCATGTCGCTTCATTCACGAGGAACTTGGCAAGGAATGAAATAAAAAATAAAAAATAAAAAATAAAAAATGCAGGTATAAATCACAGTCACGTTTTAAGGGAACTAATCTAACCTGAAAAACCTAACCATTGAAAAGAATGAACAAACAAGTGAACCTAATAGCAAACAAAAATATTTAGCTCTGTAAAAACAATAAAACGATTAAATAGTGATCCTAATGTTTAATCAAACTTTTTTAAAGTAGCCAGTTAGGTTTGACTGATGATCCCAAATTCCTGAACAAGCTCTTATCCTTTTCAAATTCAAACTGAAGGATGGAAAACCGGAAAGGTTCATGCTTCAATTCATACCCATCATGAAATGATTCTCCCAAAAGCTTGAACATGAAGACACAAATAATTTTACGTTACATATGTAATGCCTCGTTATACAAGAGCTTTTTGAACTTGAAATGCGAACAATAACACTTGAAAAGAAGGATTATATTATTGAAAATTGTATATTCAACTGTATACGTGGTTCTCTACTTAAAGAGACTAAATAACCTATTGGGCTAAGACCAAGGAAAATTCTAGAATACAAGAATAATAAATAAAATAATTATTATTATTTACAACACTCCCCTTAAGCTGAAGAATATATATTCATCATTCACAGGTTGCTAGTAAGTTATTGAATTCTATCTGAGGGAAGTCTTTTTGTCAAAATATCAGTTAATTGACGCACAGAGAGAATGTATGGAGTGACGATCAACCCGCTATCAAGTTTCTCTTTGATAAAATATCGGTCGACCTCAACATGCTTAGTCCAATCATGTCGAACTGGATTATGAATTATACAAATGATGGACTTATTATCACAAAACAGCTTCATGGCGTCCTTCACATCTTATTTTGAGATCATCAATTATAATTTTCAACCATAATAATTCAAAAATGTCTTGAGCCATAGCTCGAAATTCAGCCTCTGTACTTGACCTGACAACCACATCCTATTTCTTACTCCTCCATGTCACTAAGCTACCACAAAGAAACATACAATACCTGGTGGTAGATCGACGGTCAATCACAAATCTAGCATAATCGTCATCAGTGTAAACTTATAAAGAGAGATTTCCATCATGCTAGAACAACAGTCCTTTACCAGGAGTGATTTTAAGATATTGAAAAATTCTCTCCACTGCCTGCATGTGTTTTTCTTTTGGATTATGCATGAACTGACTGAAAATACTAGCAGCATACACTAGGTCTGGTCTAGTATGAGCCAAATATATCAATTTCTCAACTAGCCATTGATATTGTCCTTTATCAACTGAATTACTCTCCTCTTCATAACTCATCTTGCGATTCTGCTCAATAAGAGTACTAGAAGATTTATACCCAAGTTTTTCTGTTTCTTTAAGAAAATCAAGGACATATTTTCTTCGATTTATAAAGATCTCTTTGTTTGAATGAGCTACCTCTAATATCTCAATCTCCCGATCTCTTTAATTTCAAATGCAGAGGCTTGTCTTGCTTGTAGAACATGTCTCTACACAATATCATCACATGTTATAATAATGTCATCAATATGCACAGGGTGCATAGTGAACTTCCCGTCTTGGGAGTGCTTAAAGAACAATATATGGTCTCCTTGACTCTGTTTGTATCCGAAGATAATCATAACCTTGGTAAATCTCCCAAACCAGGCACGAGAAGACTGCTTCAATCCATACAAAGCCTTTTTTAACCTATAAACTTTATTTTCTCCATCTATAGAGTCAAAACCAGGCAGAATCTCCATGTAAATTTCTTCTTACTCACCATTAAGAAAAACATTATTCACATCAAATTAATTTATATCTCAGTTGTAATGAGCAACTAGAAACAACAAAACTCTTATACAAGCCTTTTGAGTTTGAAACGTGAACAAGACACTTGAAAAAAAGGATTATATTATTGAAAACTATATATTCAACTCTACAAAGAATTCTCTATTTAAAGAGACTAAATCACCTATTAAGCTAAGCCTAAGAAAGATTTTAAAATACAACAATAATAAATAAAATAATAATTATTATTTACAACAAATACCCACCTCAGCTATCTTATAGTGAAATTCAACTTTTTATTATAAAAATAAGAACAAAAAATATCAAATTCTGAACATTTGGTCATGTAAAAATTCTCGAACCAACTTACCCAAAAATTACACATAATTTTACATTACATCTCTTTACCCCTCCTTAGGGCCAAAGTAACCTAAGCAGCCACTTCTCTCCACTTAAATTTGCCAGGCTAGTCAATGAAATTGTAAAATAACACACTATAGTCCTAGCCACTAGAACCAAAGATCAGAAAGAAAAAATGCTCTGTCATTATTATCATTTTAGCCAGATTTCTATCTCCAGGCATATCCTTGTCTTCAAGTACTAAAGGACAATAAGACATACTGAATTTTTTGAATTCCCAATTCCTAAAATGCTGGATTTCTGGGGTCTCCAAGTCAGAACAATGCCTCTATCCATTTATTTCGCTGTGTTTATCTGTTTGTATGCACTGTGCAACACCCCACCATCAGATACCATCGGACTTTGTTTCCGGGAGAGATGGGGAGTACTTTTCCATGAGCTTGGCTAGCTCATCATTGCAGCAATATTGTCTTTATGAGCTTGACGGAGTTTCTCCTCTTCAGCAACAAAGTTTTCCATTTCTTTATCTTGAAAATCAATAAATTTTAGATATTCATCCACCCTATCATCCACAAAAACCAAAATTTATCACAAGCCATTGAAAATATAAGTACCACAAATGCACCACCAAAACAACTGGACTACATTCTTTCTATACATGTATATAGACCTTTTCTTAAAATATTAATTTTTTAGAGTCATGTGAAATCAGGTTTCTTTGAATTTGCCTTGGGTCATCCAGTTCAGAATCACCTAGGACATATTGTCTTTCCCAAAATTTACCAGACATATACTAGCACCAGATGTGAATAAATAATTAGTTGGGATTAGTCCAACTGAATATAAAATACAATCTCAAGGAATGACATTTTCTTACTTGACTCTCCCTTGCTCTGCATTTAAAGGACTAATACTTGACTGCTTCACCTTCTCACGTTTCTCCTGTTGCATTCTCTCAAAATCTTCTTCCTTTGCATTCCTTGAATCATGAATGATTTTGATCTGGTCCTTAAAAAATTGTTCTTGCATGTACATCTTCAATTCAGA